ATTTGACAAGCATGAATGAAATAGTATAAGAATAGAATGAAACTGTGAATAGAATGAAATTGTTATTCTTATTTTATTGTTTAGTTACAAAATAAAATTATGTATGAATGAAATGGTAATCACCATAACAACGGATCAGTGACCTAGCGGTATCAGTCTCTTACCTTTTTAAAGGGAAATTAGGGGTTCAAGTTTCAGTAGAGACATGTATCTGTGAGTACCAATTAGGAAAAAAAGAAATGGTAATCACCATTTTAAGTAGTGGTGGTGTAAGTGGTGGAAGGCGGTGTTGGTGGCAGTGGTGACAGTAGTGGGCGGTGACGATCGAAAGGCAATGATTGTGGTTGTGGCGGCGGCTAAAATTTTTATTTCATTTCATTCTATTGCTACTTACCAAATTAGACTTTAGAGTAAATAGTGAATAACATGGTATCAAATTAAACTTGTTTTGAAGAAAATAATAGTGTGATATCATTCAATATAGCAAATATCATATTCACAGTTGTAGTAATTATTTTTTTCATCATTGTCGAATTTGGATCCAGAATTTTAAATCATATTTAGATTTATTTTTTATTTTTTATTTTTTATAATTTAATAAGGTTTGTATTAAACTTTTTATTATTATTAAAATTTAAAATAAAAAAGGAAAAAAATGGTGTCTTTTTAATAAAATTAACTTCAATGGAAAACCATCAAGCAATTTGTAGAAAGGAATAGGGTTGCTATAAGGTCCAAATGTTTTTGTAAATATGAGTTGGTAGAATAAAGTTTACACACTCCCTCCATCTCAAAATTAATTCTTCCTGTTTTTATCTTTTTCTTTTCGACCGTTACAAAATTCAAATTTCATTTGAAAAGTTAGTACAACAAGATTGAATAATTCTCAAATTATTTAAAACTTAGAAAACTTTTCCAAGTAAAAGGTCTTTAGTTGTGTGTCTCTTCCTTTCGCAAAGTGAAATGTAAAGGGTTTAAAGTTTGCTTGATTTGTAACTCTGAAAATTGTTTTCAGAAATTCATAAAATAGAGAATAGTTTTCAAAGAACAATATTTTGAAAAAAGACATTTTTATAGCTGAATTTTTAGAAAACAGTTTTCAGAAAACTAAATCAAGTAGAATAGAAAACTGAATCAAGTAGAATTTTTTTTTTTTTTTTTTTTTTTGTACAGTTTTTCGAGATTAGAAAACTGTTTCCATTGTTACAAACCAAGCAAACCCAAAAAAATGCATGTTTCTTGTAAATTTGAAAGTGATAAATGAGTATTTTAAAGTTTCTCCAAAATTTGAGAGTGATAAATGAGTATTTTAAAGTTTCATAACAACAATTAGTTAAAATGCACGTTTCTTGTAAATTTGAAATTATGAGAAAGGCCAAAAAAAAAATTATATAAAAGTATTATTCAGGTTCTCATATTTGTAAAACTTCAAACTTCTAGATTGTTTTAAAATGCGTTTAGAATAACGTTATCACCACTCAATTAAATATTTTCACCATTTACATAGAATATTTAATGAAAACCATATGTGCTTGAGTGGATTTTATTTAATTATATTTTTATTTTCACCATTAAAGTTTTTTCCCCTTGCTATATCTACCTGCGTGGACGTGAATATAAGTATGTTCACCATTTTGATTCTTAATTTCTTGGTCCTTCTTGCCTTATGGGTTGCCTTGGAATTGCTCTCTCTCGCTCTTTAAATGCTTTTTGGAGATAAAATAAATAATTCCAAGACGATATATAATTAGAATACAATGTGTACTTTGTACAATGTTCTTACGTATGAATGAAATAACTCTATACCAAAGGACTTTAGTTCTAGTCGAATGGTATGATATAATATCTTTTTCCCAATTTATAAAAATTAGGGGTGTTTAAAAAATTCGGTAAATCAAAAAAGAAGATCGAACTAGACTGAATTGGGCAGTTTGGGCTAATTGTATAGCGGTTTGGTCCGGTCTTGGGCCCAAAATTATGGAACCGTAATTTTTTGGTGCAGTCCTGGTTTAGGGTCCCGTTGGACCAGATCGGCCCTGACCGAACCGTTATTATGTTATATATATATATATATATATATATATATATATATATATCATACCCTAAATCTAAATCAAGTAAAGTTCTCACGTCTCATGTGCTCCCCTAAATTTTTAATTTCTAAAATTATTTTAACGTTTTCTTTCTTTGTTCTTTAAATTCCTTAAATTTCTTTTAAAAAAAGTCAATTTTTTTTTTTTAAAATCATATCTCAATTTTCTTTACTTTTTCTTTTTAAAATTCTTCTTTTCGCGTGTTATATTAATGTTAGTTGATTTTTTTTTTTTAAACTTTGCCTCTTCTGAATTAAAATCCTATCTCCGCCCCCTGGTTAACTTACTAGATTTACTGAATCTGTTTTTTTTTTTTTTTAAATCTCTTTTGACCGTTGGTTAACTTAGTCTACTAGATTTACTAAAACCTAAATAAGAAATAAGAAATTTTGTTTTTAAAAAATAAAATAAAAAAGAAATTAACTGAAACCGATAAATCGAACCGAACCAAATCGGTTTTTTGTGGTTTGGTTTGGTTTGGTTTGGTTCCATAGGCATTATAGTTCGGTCTGGTTTCAAAAATAGTGAAACTGTTATAAATGGATTCTTCCCAAAAAACTTCCAATTCGGTCCAAACCGGACCGTGTGCACCCCTAATAAAAATGACTCATTTTTGTTTACTCATATCTCCCAATACTTTTTGAAATAAAATAAAAATAAATTCTTATTTTGCATATATAACCAAAAAAACAAAGAACAAAAAAAATTCAAACTTCAACAGTGTTTAACAAGTGTTTTCAAATAATACAGCCAATCAAAAGAAAAGAAAAAAAAAAAAAAGAGTTGGCTTTTGAAGCACTATTAGAAGTGCCATTAATAAAATTAATCAATTAATAAGTGACTGTCTCTACAAAGAAAACCCTAAAGTCTCATTTTTAATCAACACGAGAATAAAAGATAAAAATGAAATATCCTATTTCACATAATTCATTATGTGGTGGGCAAACTTTATTGGTGCGCCAAGAAGCCAAATTTGATTGTCACACCTATATATATCTTCTTTATCTTAAAAGGATAAGTCTTGCTGGTTCATACTTTGTGTGTACCTTTTCAATAATTTCTCAACGTCCAAATAAATGGGAAGGACAGCTGGTACAGAATATGTGGAGACAGCAATAGTTTAAATTCACATGCTTCTTCATACTTTATGTGTACCTTTTCAATTTATTTGACCCATATATATATATTTTTTACTAAAAAAAAAAAACTCAACCACTCGCTGTTTAATTTATTGCCCGTAAATCACATGATTAACTTTTGAGTCTATCATTTCGCGGTTCCAATGATGTAACATGGTAAACAACTTTAAATTTGTTTGATTCGGTTAGTCGAAAAGAATTTTCAAAGTTTTGAAAATAAAAAAACAGTTTAAAGAGAGAATTACAAAAGAGTATTTACCTACATTTTTTTTTTTAATTTTTAAATATTTTTTTTAAAAAGAAAACTACTACTGTATCATCTAAACTGACTTTTTGAATTATTTTTCAGCTTTTTACTCTTTGAACATAAGATAAAGGAATGAAATAAAAAAGTAGGGCTGATCACGGATCGGATCGATTTTAGGTAAAATTTAAACCAATTCGGTCCTCACGAATTCGCTAAATTTGAAACCGAATCGATCCGCGGGGACTCTCAATCCGAATCAAACTGATCCGTGAAATAATGGATTGGTTCGGTTCGATTCCCACGGATTGGGCTTGACAGTATACAACTAAGAAAACTGAAATTAGAGGCAAAATACTATTTTCGTCTGAGTCATGCATGAATTTAAAGGAAAAAAAAGAATCTGTTATTGTTAACTATATTTTGTCTGAGTCATGCATGAATTTCTAAAGATTATACATATTAATAAATGGGTTATGAAAATGACAAGGTAGAACTGAAACTAAATGACGAGATGGAGCAATCAAGATTTTTTTGCAAAAGAGAAGAACAAAAATTCATAGAAGAAAATAATGAAAAACTTATGAACTCAATGGAAATTAGATGTAGATGAAGATGAAATGATTGGCCGATGTAAATCGGAGAAACTTACTTGTCTGGGTTCCATAAGAGGCTGAGAGTATTGGGTAACCTGAGCCTTTCATGAGAGACTGTGAGTAGAGCAGTGTGTTTGTGAGATCAGATGAGACTTGATGGGAGGCCAGAGATACATGCAAATGAAAGGAATATAAAAACTAAAAAATGTAAAACACTAAAAGCCACAAAGCGTAAAGCATCTTGGGTTCGTAAACTAATAAAACTTTTGAAAACTTAATGATTAAAGAAAATAAAGACACCAATAATGTATTCTACATATATTGTATACTATATATGTTACATAATATATGTATATTAGTTCTACGGATTGGTTTACGGATTGACTCGGTTTTTTCAGTACCTAATCCGTTAATCCGGTCACTATGGATTACTAATTTTTCAATTTATCACCGAACAACGACACTAGAAAACCAAACCGAACCGCACAGATTGGATCGGATCGGTTCGGTTTAGTGAATTGACGGATTATTTGAACATCCCAACCAAAAAGTCCTTTTTGCCATTTGCATTTCCCAGAAAATAAGGGGGATAAAATACTTTCTAACAATGATAAAATACTTGAAATTGCAAATTTTGACGAGTTTGTTCCGGCCATAAGCCTTATGACTCACCGAGTCAACTCAGTCCCGTCACGAGCTCAATCATTGCATTAATTTAATATTAAATCAACCACAGTTCGACAATTGTCATAGCCCGTCTGTGATACTTTTCGAACAATAGGGAAGAGCTATATCCAACCTGCATGGCTTAAACGGGCATACTTCTCATGACTATGCCCAGATACGTATATGAGCTAAGTCGTAGTATGTAATATATTCATATGACGTGACATAGTATATATGCATGTACTCTACTGAGTCTCATCGTGAGGTGACTCAGTTGTCAACAAAAGCGGACAGACTAAGTTCGGTTGAGATGTCCTTCTTTCTGTACAGTTAAGGGAATCAAATTATCAATGATGAAAAGCACGGAATTCAAAAAGCTACTTATACCTGAAGAGACAGCTTTCTTCTTATAACAAATTCTCTGTTTCATTAGTTTCTTTCACACACACTGACACACACAAACACACACATATGCACTAAGCTTTACTCCATGTGGGAGTCTGATGGGGTTTTCACGAGAAGACTATTATTTGGCACCGTGGTGTCGGCTGCTTTTCTTCACTCACCAATTTCTGTTCTATGGTAAGAGTCTAAGAGACAAACCACCATTTTTTTCTTCAGTTCACATTCACATTCTTTTTTTCTCTTCAAAAAAGGCCTTCAATTAGTTACTTTTGTTCAGATTAACTTCCACATCTGACCGGCTTGAAGGAAAATTGGAGCCAAAAACTACAGTAGCGTAAGAGTTATCTTTCCTAGAAGCTACAATCAACCCAAGAAAAGAAGATCATTCTGGAAGTGATTCTTAAATCAGGTACATCTTGCTTCTCGGATTAAAGTTATTAATTATGAAGATTAAGAAAAATGCATTCTGCTGAATCTGAAATCACCTATTGAAGGAGAGAAATAGCCGATCATCTTGCTTATTATAATTTCATCTTGAATTTCAATTTCTCCCCCTGTATTAACAATATTAACATATTAAGGCATTGCAATTGATTCTTCCTAGAAGTAACTCTTCCTCACACCTTAGTGTTCCTTCTGATTCATTCATAAGATGTATAGGGATAATGTTAACTTTGGTGCCAAGGAGGAGTAATTTTCTTTCTTCGTCTTGCTTAAAGATTTAACATTTAGTGTATTTTTTGTTTGATTGTCGAGGATTTTACATGACAGCGCAACCTCTTAAATATTAATGATGATGTTTAAATCCATTGTATCTAATAGGAGATACAAAATCATGCAAGTTTATACATATCTATTTTAGACCATCAATTTCTTTTAACTTATTTCTAGTATATATGTTTTTGTGTGTGTGCAAGTCTATTCATTAAATTTATTTTGGACAGACAGATCCTTAATTCAGAATCCACTCCGATATTTGAGTACATTAATTGGCCGTTTATCTTGTAGAATAAGATGGGCAATACTCGGATTTTAGCGTTCTACATCACAGTATGCATTGTCGCTTTTGTTATTTCAAAAATTACCATAGCAGTCCTCGTCTATCGGCGATGGCAAAGAAAGCACATGGTTGTTCAAGACGGTTTATCTGGTATAATTTTGCACCAGATTCAAGATTTCTCAATATTACTTCCCTGAAAGGGAGAAATATGCTAACATACTTTGATGGGCAAACGCAGGTGGAAAGCTGGTGATGTTCAGGTCACCAAAGAAGAAAACTTTACAATCTGATACTTTCTTGAAGAAGACGATGAAACTGAGTAACAAAGACATCATCGGAGCGGGAGGCTACGGGACAGTTTATAAAATGACAGTAAATGACTCCATATCATTTGCAGTGAAAAGGCTTAACAGGGGAACTTCAGACAGAGATCGAGGTTTTGAGAGAGAGTTGGAGGCAATGGGGGACATAAAGCATCGAAACATTGTTACTCTTCATGGATATTACACTGCTCCTCACTATAATCTTCTTATCTACGAGCTAATGCCTAATGGAAGTTTGGACGCAGTGCTCCATGGTATGATTTCTAGCATAAATCCTAAGGATTTCAATTCGTGTTTCTAACCTTCATGAAGTTGGTGTTAAGATCATTCTTCTTTGTTTTTCAGTCAGAACATTTCCTAGTTTTTACGAAGGGTTTGACATTTTGAAGTGTAAATCTAACAATGAAGTCTAAATCTACCATAACTTGAAATCAATCTTTCAAAAGTTCCTTAATCTGATGTATGTGTTTCTTGATATTTGAGATTTAATTATGATGCAGGAAGATCAGTGGACAAGAAGGCTCTGGATTGGCCTTCAAGATACAAAATAGCGGTAGGCGCCGCTAGGGGAATATCGTACCTTCATCATGATTGCATCCCTCACATAATCCATAGGGATATTAAGTCAAGCAACATACTGCTGGATAAAAATATGGAGGCTCGAGTGTCTGATTTTGGACTAGCCACACTCATGGAACCAGACAAGACTCATGTTTCTACGTTTGTTGCAGGAACATTTGGATACTTAGCTCCTGGTATGTTGCACCAAGATTCCATAGCGAGTCTCCCCACTGATGATATTTGTATTCTTATGTACAATCAATTATGCTCTTCTGCAGAATATTTTGACACCGGGAGAGCAACAGCAAAAGGAGATGTTTACAGCTTTGGTGTTGTTTTACTCGAGTTATTAACAGGGAAGAAGCCAACAGATGAGGCATTTATCGAGGAAGGAACCAAGCTTGTGACATGGGTAAGTTTTGAACTTTTTCGAAATTTCGGTAGTTTCTGCAATTCTGTATTTTTTTGTGCATACTAATCTAGTTTTGTAGGAAAAACTCCTAAACTATATCATTAACAATATATGAGATCATGCAATCAATAAATGAAAATAAAATAGAAATGAGGTTTTTAATTGTCTAGATGCTTTACTTTTACAAATATATTAACACAAAAATATTTTATAGAAAAGTGACACGCTATTATGTACAACAAAGGCTTTTTTCATATGTGATATATAAAAACATCATTTATCCTGTTACAATCTCCAAAGGAGCACCAAAAAGATATGACTCTTGCGAGTAAAGAGAAAATCAGTGGTATTACTCGCCAGATGCATAAACCAGAGGTTAAAAAGCCATTACTCAATGTTTGTCATGCCTACAGTGTACTGGAGCCAAGGTCTTTTTTCAGCTCTCTGTTAACTTGTCCTGAGCTTCTAAATAAAACAGGCTTACGTGCACTATGCTATGAAATTAGTTATTTGTTTATTCAAGTCTTAATGTAATCAAATTATTTTTTCATTTTAACTAATATACAATTCAACTATTCCTCTAGCAATATGTTTAACAGACTTTTATGTAGTATGTCTGTTGTTTCATTTCTTTTAGGTTTCCAGGTTTGTGGTTTAAAAAGATTAATTTATTCAAGTCTTTCTGTTATTTTACGACTTTTATGTAATATATCCACTTTTCTGTATTTTATAGAAGCACGAACATTACATATATTTGCACTAAAATCTCATTATTCAAGTTATTATATTGGAACAGGTGAAAGCAGTTGTCCAAGAGAAAAGAGAAGAGTACGTGCTTGATAGTAGCTTACAATGTTGTCCTGTTGAAGAAATTAACCATATGTTCAGTATTGCATTAATGTGCCTTGAGCCAGAGGCATCCAAAAGACCTACTATGGCTGAGGTTCTCAAGATGCTTGAACAAATCAAAACAGAAGAAGTTCTATCAAATTCTTGATCTTTTTTAGAACAGAACATACTTGTTATATTTACTTTTAATCCATGAATTTTTTTTCCTGGTCTACATGGACGGATACAAAAAAACTTACAGCAACTCAAGTTAATGCAGCAAATTCATGAATTACTGAATCTACCTTCATCGCAAGAAAAAGAAAAACGATTAAGGATCTAACTTGTCACGGTTTTTACTTGAGGATTGTCTGCAACCCATTGGAAACCGAAGCTTTCAGTGAAGGAGAAACTGGATCAGCTCCCAAAAATACATCAAAAAGGGCCAGTGTTACATTCATCGACTCTATTGTAGCATCCACGTCAGTAGGCAACCCATCAGATGATACGCAAACCTGAAAACGACCATGTATATATCCAGTTTGTATGTCAACAAATAAGAAAACTTTTTCACAGAGAGAGAATTCTTTGTTAAATTATGGTATTGTAAAAACTCTTATGATCAAATGTGCATGGGAGAGTTTTGTCTACTAAATGCGTACTTACAAGCATTTTGCCTGGGACCAGCCAAGTCAAAAATATGAAAGTTCCTTTCTTAAGAGGTCGCCCTTGGAAGATGTTACGAAATGTGGAGAGAGCGGTTTCATCAACAGGATTGGGTGTTTTGATTCTTGGGGAGATGGCATCGTCCAATGCACCCCAGAAGGTTTTACCATCAACATCTCTTACCAGGACAATATGTAATGATTTCTCCAGAGGAGCTGCACTTGCATAAAAAACTTACTTTAGCACCCTCAATTAGTGTCTCTCTCTCCCTCCAACAACTGAAATGTTCAACTTAATCATAATTACATCGGAAAATTGAGTCAAACAGAGATGAATCTCCTTGAATTTCGGCAGCTGATCGCCCTTTCCAAGCATCTAATTTACTTTTTATAGATTGATTCACATATAATCCTGCAGCGTAGACCTTAACACCAATTATTGCAAAAACTTTCTCCCTATATCCTGAAAATATTCAAACAGAAACTGTTACATTGATGCAGAGGCTTACCACAAAGGTAAGCATAAACATAAAAACCAAGAGTTATAGGGTGAAAATTCTAGGTTTAATCATCCGTTTATAGTCTACAACCAAGGCTAATTTTTTCTAGAAAAGAATACTGAAACTAAAGCATCTGACCATTGCCAAGTAAAGACAATGGAGTCGAGCAACCCGGGATGCTTATTGACTTCTGAAATTTCACACTGGTAGCAGGTTCCTCTGTGTATTCTGCACTTCCAACTAGAGACATGAAGTCAAAGCACAAAGATGTCAGATTTTTTTAAAGTGGTATGGAAAATAATAAATTGTGACACTCTGACAATGTATGCCTTCATTTTTACTACTTCATTAAGTTCAAATCTACACCCTGAGCCTATCACCATTTTCTCCTTTTGGTGTGCAGCTATATGAATCCTATTTCGGCATGTTGATGTGTCAAAGGCAATAGATGACCACATCCTATTATGTCTTTCAACTTCCATCACTATCTTAATCGAAGCTAATCTTGGTCTCCTTGTCCCAAAATTTTCTCAATGAAAAATATGTCAATTTCTACACTGATGCAATTACAAATTTTTGTTGCAAATGGTGAAAATGATACGAGTTCCAAGTAAAATGAAAGAAAAACTCAATCAACATGCCCTTGAACCATGGAATTTCAGTAAAGAGAAAATAAAATAAGCATGCTAGAACAAATAACCACTCCAAAAATTTCCCAAGTCCTCTTTATACCATTCACTTCCCTATAATCCTCCAACTGAGGTGAAGGTGGGATATGATCCAGGTCTCTGGTACAACTACCAAGAGACTTTAGGCATATATGTAAAAACTAAAAATTGGTCTTCAGACTAATTTATATTCAGTTACTTCATTTGATAATAGGTTCTTTGGCTTTTGGACCGTCCAATTAGTAAACAGTGGCCACATTGAGGCAAATATTTGAATCTTGATTAGAGATAAGAACATTTCACTATTTCAGCACAGGCAGCACAGCTTTAATTAATTGTTCTCATGAGCAATAAAAAAAAGATGAACCTTATAACCTAGCAAAAATCATCCATCTTACAAATAATAGATGAGAGAGAAAATCAATACATCAAAAGTAACAGTGATGAACCACTGTATGGGTATCCTTCTATCTAATGAATCCATGTCAATATCATAGTTAAATATGATAATTTGGCCCAAATTATTACTTGTGCTCCAATTGTCCATTGTACTTCCAAGCTTTGAGAACTTAAAGGTTTTTCAATTATCTTGCCTCTTCAATCCATATTTCGCAAATTTCATTAGCTTTCCTAAATTTTTAGTCCAAATTTCATTCAGATTTCTAAGACTTTCTTAAAAACTCAACTTTCATATTTATCCTTTCCAGGCTGGCAATCTCTATGTAAATTTATCCTCAATTCAATGGGATTGAGGAAAAATTCAAATCTGGCCAACTGCTTTCATTAAGAAATTTATATATAATGGTTAAGATTCCTACATTACCAATGGGTCAGTGGCCTAGTAGTATCAGCCTCTTACTTCCAAAGGATCGTCAGGGGGGGTGTGTGAGTACCAACTAAGGAAAGGAAAAAAAAAAAAAAAAAAAAAAAATCCTACATTCCCAATTTCCCATATACACATATCCTAAATCAGATAAAAGAAAAAGGAAAAAAAAAGAAAAAAACCTCATTGTTCATTGTCACATGCCAAACTTAATTTTCTTGATTTGTCTTTTCCATGATTTACAAATTTGAATTAACTATTCAGTTTCTGATACTGTGCTTATAGTGAAACAAACACTAAGCATTTAAACTTGAATATGATAAGGTTTACATTCCTCGACCTTCAACAAGAAAACCTCTGTGAGAATAATATAATGAAGCAATCCAAGATAGTAAAATGATTTATGTGGCAACATTTTCAGAGTGGATTTGAAATTCAAACTTGAATATTTCTAGTATAAGCATTTCCTTTTTCTCCTTTTGGCTGCAGTGAAAGTGTGAACATGATTGTGTAATGAATGATGTGGGAAGTTCTGAAAAGCTTACTTGAGGAAGACGAAGCAGCTTTGGGCAACAAATGGGTGTGCAAATTGTAATCCTTCTGGAGAGAGAAACGATAAGGAAATGTGGATAAGAGAGAGGAAGTGTGGATTTTGCTCCGTTTCGGTACTGGGTTTGTTGAAATTTCCTCTGAAAAACAGATTCTGGGTTTGGAATTGCAGGAACTGAATTTGATGGGAGATGAGAGCCAAATTGGTGTGGAAATTGCTACTACCCCAAGCATTTTTTAATCACTACTGAGTAAAATGATTTTCAAATCCCGCTAGAATTATATACACACAAAGTTCCCTTTTTTTCATGGGTGGTAAAAAAAAAAGAGGGGATTTGTGAAGCTGGGTCTAACAACTTCACCAATGATTGGTGCGGCAGTCAGAGTGGGATGGGGTGCTGTGTTGATGACAAGTCGGCAGAGGTTGGGCTGGCGGAGGCCAACTTTAGGGTTGTACAGCGTGAAAAAAACGAAAAAACAAAACACGGATACAGTCACGAAATTAGGATAATGCCGTAAAAAAAGGTCAAAAATATAATTAATACATATTATTATATACAAGTATATAACATGATTTTTGTTAATTTTAACCACATTATGATAGTAAAATTACTAATTTGAAGCTTATAACTAGACGAATCTTATTTTTGTTTTTCAAATTTTTACGTTAGCTTTCAAATTAATTTATAATTTATTTTAAAATTCAATTAAATTTATCCTTATAAAAATGATATCACTAGTTATGCGAGAAAAGAAAATAAAATATAGTGTTAACTTTTGGTTGATTAACAAATAAAAAAAAAGAAGTAAATTATAACTTTAGCACTTAACTATATTTGGAAAAGAAAAACAGGAAAAATATTTTAATAAATTTATCACTATACCCTCTCATATTTAAAAGACAAATATATTAATAAAAATGAGTAAACCAAATGTAAAAACTATGCTAAACATCATTTAAGCCAAAATCACGATCTAAATAAAAAAAAATTATTAAAGAAAAAAAAATGCCCTAAGACTCATGGTGTATTGATTGTCTTAAATAAAAATAAGAGCAAAATAAGTACTATTTTTTATTTATTTATTAAACTTTGAAACATTTTTTAAAATTTCTTTCTATGTTTGGGAGGATGGCAAAACTACTTATCATGCATTAGAAGGCTTAGGACCAATGAACCTCAACCACATCATACGGATGGTCCCTAAACTCTTAGCAATAGGACTTGGACTTAAATGAACCATAGTTTATAAGGTCCTATTTGCTGGTGGAATTACTTAGACTCATTGCATTTACAAATGAAGTTATATTGCAGAAAAAATGCATGCAACCAATTGCATTGGAAATCTAACTTTAAGTGGTTCACTTAAGACTTGAACTTGATTTGGTTTTGAAATGATCATGTTATGATCCGTTGAGATCAGTTTCGCAACAGAGTCAAATAGAATGAGTTTTTTAGGAGTTCCCAAACAAGCCGGCCCTGACCCAAGGCGGTCGCCTAGGGGCTAGGGCCTCAAAATTTATGGGGCTTCAAAATTTATAGGCCCATGGATGATGGGCCACCAAAAAAAGTAAATTTTTTTTTTTAGGACAAATCATTTCAGCCTCCCCAATCGCCTCCATCTCTATTCTCCTTCTCGAGTCTGAACTTGCCCTCTCTCTCTCTCTCTCTCTCTCTGTGCAACTGCAAACTACAAAATCTACAAGAATCAAAAGTTCAAAACCCATACATTTCAGTTTATCTATCTGTCTGCAAGAATCAAAAGTTCAAAACCTATTACCTATATCAAAACCCATATCGGCATTTCATTTCGGATTGTTCAAAAAATCAAAACCCACATCTTTCAGTTTCCATCGCCCGCTGTTCCAGTTCGGGTTCTCCGTTCGCAAGCTTCAGCCGCTGTCTCTCAACTCTCAAGCTTGCCCCCCTCTCTCTCTCCTACTGCTAACTTGTATGTATGGTTTTATTTTTTATTTTTTAAATCAATTAATCAAGGTCTGTAATTCTTGTTTTGCAAACTAAATCCTATTTGGTGAAATTTTTTATGATCTTTTTTATATAATTTTTTATTTTATTTTATGAATTTTAGTTATAAATATTTGTGAAGATAATGACTGAAACAGGATCTCCCTTTGCAGGATTTGAAAGACTAATTGGTAAATTTGGGTTGAACTTGAGTCTTGAACAAGCTGAAGGCCTTATCGTGGATTATAATTTTTACAATTACAGCATCCTACGGTCCTACCATCTTTTATAGTGCTTTCATCACTTCAGACTAGTAAGTCATTTCTTCAATTATTCTATATATATATATTTTTTATTCCAGTTTTTTTCATGCTAATAATAAACTGGATGTTAACCGCATTAAGCATAAATCTGTCAATTAATATGGGCACCCAATTGTATATGAAACAAATTACAATATAAAGTAACAAAATTTATTAGTATATAAACAACAAAATTTTCATTTTTTGTAGACTTTTGTGCTTTGAGCAACTTGGGGGAGCTTGATTTGAGTGTTAGTGTGAAGGGGCTGATTACAGTAAAATGTATTATAGTGTCATATTCATTGCATTGCATTTTGAGGAAATCTACATTTTATTTCAGCAAAACAAATTATTATTATTATTTTTAATTCTATAACTTCTATTTCTGTTTTTTTTTGGTTGTTGTCATTTATGTCTACAAGAAAATTTGAATCTGGGCATGAAAAAAGAAAAAAGAAAAAAAAAAGAAGAGAGAAGAAAAATTGATTCAATCTCAAAAAGACGCTATTCATAAGCTTTTTAGGAACAATACACAAACAGAGAGTTTAGTTGAAGATTTGGTGAATGAAGAACATAGGAATGAAGAAAATCTTAATGAACATGGAGATTTAATGAATGAAGATAGGAATGAGAATCAAAATGAAGAAAATGTGAATGAACTTGAAGATTTGGTAAATGAAGAATATATGAATGAGAATGATAATCTTCCTTTGAACATTAATGATCCAGGAAATTGAAAAAATATTGATAAAAAAATGAGAGATTTATTAGTTGAAAGAGGTCCTCCAAGAGATGCTAAACTTGAAAATTTTCCTAAGGATTCAAAAATAGTCAAATTTTTTTTTTTTGTGCATGTGAAACTTTATGTATAATGGGCCTCATGCTAAAGTTCGCCTAGGGCCTCTTGGGATTTTTTCAATCTCAGGGCCGGAACCATACGAAGGCCCTTCATAAGTTATCCTATCTCTTCCCATGTATGCAAGACTCTTTCATGAAATTAAATATCTTGTTGCAGTCCAAGTCTGACTCAGTCTTAAAAGAAAATCCTCTTTATTTGATCTCTCTTTTCTTCCTACTAATCAGGACGGCCCTGAAAAGTATGTGAGAGGAGGCAACCTTTAACAAAAGAATGTTACGGGGAACAATAGTGGAGTTTTTTTCTAATTTTCGTGGGGAAAAATTCAAAAAATTTCAAGTATATAATTTTTTTATAAAAAAATTAGTGGATAGAATTCCAAAAAAGAAAAATTTCAGTGGGGCAATTGCCCCCACTGAGCCGTCAATAATTTACACAAGAAGACTTATGATGATGTCCCAAACAACTCTTATATTTGAATTTTGAAATTGTGGATTGGTTTGAAAGAGAGTCAAATGATGTGACGACCACACATACATAAAACACTCTTATAAACCCGTTGCACTTACAATTCATTTTCAAACTGATTACTCTCTCCAAATGGATAGAAACGACTCTTTCTAATAATGGAGCTATTTATTCTCCTCTTCTCCTCCAATGCTACAATTTGAGGAGCAGTAGGTATACCATTACTCCTATGTGAGAACTCTACCTTGCCAAGGATGAACACCACCATCACCACTTGAGCTAGCACCCGCTCAACCCTCGGCAACCAAAGGTAGGAATTGTTAACGGGGTGGGCTAATAATTTTTTAGGTGGGCTAATTCTAATAATATATATATATATATATATATATATATATATATATATATATATCTATTTTTTTGGCTGGGCTAAAATTGCCTATAATTTTTTTTTTCTGTTTTTTTTTTTGGGGTGGGCTCAAGCCCACCAGAGTCCACCCCTAAATCCGTTGTTGGCGACAGGGGCGGCCCCTTGACCAATTACTATATGGCCCAACAATACAAATATATATAAGATCCATACTTGGCCCCCCAAAATAAAATTCCTCAATGAGCCTAATACTAATAAATAAAATTTTTAAAGTCCAAATCCAATAGCAAAAGACCCATTGAGGAATTTTTCGTTCTCATTCATCTGTGTCTCTAATGCCCCTTTCATTTATCTCTCCTCTCTCTCTCTCTTTTTTTTTTCCCTATAAATTCTCAAATTTCATTTCGCATTCTCCACTCTCTCGATCCTCCATCTCCCAAGTTTTCACCCCAATTTCATCTCTCTCGTTCCAAAATCACTTTTCGTTGTGAAGTTTCTCTCTCTACCTTTCCCCTCTATCTGTCCTATATTATCAGCATGATTATATCCACCGGGATCGTCTCTTTACATAGATAAAAGGAACCTGGCGAATATATCAGCATTCTTCAATTCCATCGTCTTTTTGTACATCTTTTCCACCTTCCCTCTATCCACAATATATGTGTATTTTTTCTTCAATTTGTAATTGGTGAAGTCTGATTGCAGTCGTTGCTTATAACAAATTGAAAGACACCTAGTGGATTTCAAGGCAAGATCTCAACATTTCCACAGGTTCCTTCTCTTTCTCTTTTCTTCCTCTCTCTGTATGTGTATATATATGTATGTATATTTAGATTTATATTGTATTGTTTCTTCAAGTTTTCTACTGGTTAATTCTTAGACACTACTAATTTGGTTTTTTTAGAATAAAGATGGAGGTAAAAGTCGTTTCAAGAGAAATTGGTGTTTACGCTGATTGAAGCACTTCGAGAGTTGAATATTGTGGTTTGGAATAACGATACTATTACGAACGACTCCATTGGCAGTGAGTATTGTAATCTTTTAATTTTTTTTTTTTATTTCTTGATCTCTGCACTCGGTTTTATCTAAAATCTGGGACCTCTCTGGTGTTTTATTTTATTCTAGGGTTCATTACAAAAATCCTTTATCAAGGCTACAATGACTGCCTTTGGCTGGTATAATCTTCTTGACTGACTGCATTGTTGTAGCCTTGAGAAAGAGATGTATATGCAAGGAAATTAAATAAGATTATTGGTGAATTCTAAAATGTTGTAGTAAATTTGAACAATAATGTTGGTTAAGCTTAAGGTTGAATTTATAGACAATGCATTTTTTTATAATCAAATAAAAATTTTGATAGTGGTTCTTATCACATATGACAAGTTTCAGGAAGTTGCAACAGAAGGCCATTACTGTTGGGAGTAGGCCAAGTTTATTGGAGATGATAGCTTTTGCTAGTTTCAGAGGGAGAAAGAGCTGTATATGCAAGGAGATTGGATATCTGAGTCTGAATGTCTCTTGATTTATAATCACTAGGTTGCAAACAATAGAGGGTGAGGAAGACTGAACCCATCAAAACATATTGAGTCTGAATGTCCCTACGAATTCGTTCTAACAACAGGTCAGGAATACAATTCCCATCAAACAAACTGAGAGAGAGCGTACCATGCTTCACCTGTGGGGGGGAGAGAACAAATCGAGATACCTCAGCTCAGTGTGGGAGAGGGACAAAAAGAGACGGTTCAACATCAACTTAATGCGCTGGTTAATTTTTTTGTAAGAACCCAGTGCAAAACGGCCTTGTTTGGCGCTAGGTTCTTTTAACTTATTTTCAGATCCGCATTCCCTTACGTAGCGTGTTGTCCGTAGGCGGATGATAACACGAGTGGTTAAATCTATTTGTCTACCTAGTTAAAATATATATATAATTTATTTATTTATTTTGTCTAATCAAATGAATAATGCATATTAAAACCGGTTTGTCAAACTTATTTGTCCAACAAAAAGGGGTTTTATCCGTTTGATGTCTTGGATAAGTTCAAGGATGAGTCCTATTGGACTTTTCCTTATATCAAAGGGATGAAAAATATTATGCTAAACAAATAGGTATAAATTGATATAGAAATCATTTTCCTAACCCCAAACATAGCGGAGTTATTGGCTTGTTGCTGCTATATTTTATATATACATGAATCAAATGGAGAGTGAGAGGGGAACAAAATTGAGCGTTAAGTCGATTAGTTAGGATTTAGAAACCGAACCAAGCTGAGTTTTTGTACAATTTTTGATTTTCAGTTATTTTTTTAGAGTTATAAACCAAGCAGCCCTTAATATCTCTTAATTTATGAAAACCAAATCCTGGCCTTTCCTTCATTTTTTTATTTTTTATTTTTTTTTTCAATTGGCATGGCCAAATCCTAGGCGTTGAATCCAGAAACCTAGAAGAGCCAAATCCAAAATAAACCGGGTCGGGTACACTGTTACTCTAATTTTTTTTTTTTAGTAATGCTATTATGAGAGCTTTCCCATGCTGAGCTCTCCTTGTCTAACTAATGAATTCAAAGATTGATTAAATAACTTATTTGACTTTTTATACATCTCAAAAACTTTTAATCATGTTAAATAAGAATTTATGCCTTTTGTCATGAGAGGACTCTCCTGATAGCATTACTATTTATTTAGGGACAATTTTTGAGTGTGTCACTAAAAGATTGTCCCTAATAGCCTGATTTCTTATAGTGATATCATTGCAATAAGCTCTAAATACGTGGAATTGATCGTCTCTTTGGGTAAAAATTTACGAAAAGCAAATAATAAAAAAAAAAACACATAAGAACTGAATAAAAATACCACTACGGCATTAACATACACACGTTTAAGGGTTCGAATATGCAATATTCATCGCTTATCACGCATTGTGCCAAAGAATGATGAAGTCCTGAAATGAAGGCCTAACTCAGCCTAGAAATTGTTTTTATGAACTTTTTGAAATTTTTTCAAATATATAAAACCAAAATGAAAGCTCGAAAACATAACTAAATGTAAAAAGTAAAAGAAAAGAGAAGAAATCAAAAACAAAAATAACTAAAAGCTACGAAATAAAAAGGATGAAAATGAAAACCTACGAAATCTAAAAAGTGGAGGATTAGGGAAATAATGTTGTTCATGATGAGGTTGATGCATGTCGTTACTATCCCTTATTAGAATAAGAAAGTGATTGCTAGAGAGAAGAGGTTTCTATATAAAGGGACCTTCTACCAAGCATACACCACAATAAAGCACATCAAAGTAACAACAACCACAACATCAACAACAACAATTTCTCCACATATGATGATCCCGTTCTCCTCAAATCAAACATAATGAAATAGAAAACTAAATGGCGACGACAAGGACCGATGCATAAACAAGAAAAATAAAACAAAATAAAAGCAATGATAGCCTAGACAAGGACTATCTAAAATAGAAACAAAACAAAACTAGAATGTGTACAATTACAAGTTAAAGATTTCAAGATAGGCTCACAAAGGTCCCAGGCGAAGCAATGATCCCCAAGCTTGCTTCTCTCTCGATCAAGTACCTAGAATTGCACAAAAATAAATTAGAAGCAAAAGATAAATACAAATCCTAAACTAACCATCAAATGATCACTAATGTTAAATTGAATCAATTAATCGTAGTCCCTGGCAACGGCGCCAAAAATTGACACGTATTCATTAAAGATGAATATAAAAGCGGTTTTGGAAGCTTTGAAAGTCAATTTTACATTTATAAAACCACTACTACTATATAGTATAGTGAGTAGGGATCGTTCACAGGATTAGCTGCTTGATTCAATTTACAATTAGTGAACAAGTGATTCAATAGAAAAGATGTTTGCTTATAATCCTAATTGAACTAAACAAATGCAAATAAAAGAAATGATAAATGGATAATGGAATAAAGATATTGAGAAACTTAGGTCATGAAATCCACCTCTAAGCCTTGTAATCATACCATTGCAATCAAATTGGGAAAAAAATACTTGTGCAATTAAGAATTGTGGCTAAAAGCACTCAATCATGGTCAAGAGAATATGCAAACAAGCATAACTCATCAAAGCTAAGCATCAATTATCTACCTACCTATTTCTACTCTAATGTTGTAGCACAACCCATCAAATCTAAGCATGAATTATCAAATCAAATGCAAATATATCAATTAAGCACCATTGTTTAACCATCATCCACATAACTATAAGAAGTGAAGAAGTTGAGATCAATTAACCACAATTTATGCAAAAGACAGTATAGAGATCATAGAAGATTGATTATAGCATTGTGAGTCACAGTTCCCAAAGTGGACTTTTAATTTGAGACGGAGGGAGTATATTATAAGTAATTTATCGTATTTTGACTTTGGGGATTGGTTATCAAATATTTTTAGAATTGAATAACAATTTACAGGGTCAAAAAGAGGAAAAATAAAGAGTAATGTTATCATGAGAGCCCTCTCATGAAAAAAGGCATGAGTTCTTATTTAACCACCGGGTTAAAAGTCTTTTGAGATGTGTAAAAAGTCAAATGAGTTATTTAATAAATCTTTGAATTCATTGGTTAGACAAGGACAGCTCAGCATGAGAGAGCTCTCATGATATCATTACTAACAAAAAAAATAGAGTTACAGTGAACCTGACCCGGTTTATTTTGGATTTAGCTCTTCTAGGTTTCTTTATTCAACGCCTAGGATTTGGCCACGTCAATTAAAAAAAAGAGAGAGAAGGAAGTGGTCGGATTTGGTTTTCAGAAATTAAGAGATATTAAGGGCTGCTTGGTTTGTAACTCTAAAAACAGAACTGAAAAGCAGAAATTGTGCAAAAACTTAGCTTGGTTCAGTTTCTAAATCCTAACTAATCGACTTAACGCTCAATTTTATTCCCCTTTCACTCTCCATTTGATTCATGTATATACAGAATATAGTGGCAACGAGCCAGTAACTCCTCTATGTTTGGGGTTAGGAAAATGATTTCTATATCGATTTATACCTATTTGTTTAGCATAGTGTTTTTCATCTCTTTGATGCAAGGAATAGTCCAATAGGACTCATCCTTGAACTTATCCAAGACATCAAACGGATAAAAACCCTTTTGGTTGGACAAATAAGTTTGACAAACTGGTTTCAATTTGCATTATTCATTTGATTAGACCAAAAAAAAAAAATGTATATATATATCTATATTTTAACTGGGTAGACAAATAAAATATATATATATATATATATATATATATATATATTTTAACTGGGTAGACAAATAAATTATTTATATATCTTTAAAAAAAATGAACCGGCGCGTTAAATTGATGTTGAACCATCTCTTTTTGTCCCTCTCCCACAACTGAGCCGAGGTATCTCAGATTGTTCCCTCTCCCCCACAGGTGAAGCGTGGTACACTCTCTCTCTTAACTGAACCAAGGTTTTTTTTTTTTTTTCTTTCAATATTTTTTGCAAGATTTCAAAACCCTAATTCCTCTATACTTCTGTCACTCTTTCTTTCCTTAATATATACTTCTCATCGTTTGCAGAATTTCAAAATTATTCATTTTGAACTTCTGATTTCTCATCTTTGATTGTTCTGATAGTAGTTGTTTAGTTTAATATGTATACGGGTTTGATGACATGTTGTATTGAGGGAAGATACTTGATTAACTTCATTTACATGCTTAATGTATAATAAAAATGGAATTCATTGTTACAGGTTTATCATTCATTTTGGCTATGGGTTACCGGTGACTGCAATTTGTTTGATGGGTTTCGTCTTCCTGACCTTCTGTTTGAACAAATTCGTAGGGACATTCGGACTCAATATGTTTTGATGGGTTCAGTCTTCCTGACCCCCTCTATTGTTTGCAACCTAGTGATTATAAATCAAGAGACATTCAGACTCAGATATCCAATCTCCTTGCATATACAGCTCTTTATCCCTTTGAAACTAGCAAAAGCTATCATCTCCAATAAACTTGGCCGAAATAGACCTCTGGTCGGGGATCCACCGTCTCCGGCCATTTGGGCCTTGGACTCCAGCAGTATAAACCATTTAAGCCAATCCCATGACAAATAGGTAAATCTAGCCCTAATATTTTGTTATCAAGGTTTAGATTTTTTTTTTGATTAGTGTTATCAACCTTGTTATCAAGGTTTAGAAATGAAAGTGAGATGAAGAAAATTAGAGGAAGAGGTGGGCGTCTGAAAACAGTGGCCTATTTGGAAATTCAACATCAAATTTTATCAGTCCATGTTAATTTTTTAATGTACATTCATTTATCTTCAACTTCTTGTGTACTATACCTGTTGGCTACCAGCAATGTGGCACTGTTTGGAGTCCTCATTAACTCACATTCACCTATCTAATCCAGTCTAGGTCCTACACTGTATGTACCCCCAAGTTTTTGAAGAAAAGAACATAAAACCCAGATCTAGGATCCTCCTAAAACAAATTAATGTTTGTGGAACCATTTGATATTGTTTTTGAAAATTTTATTCTGGTTTGAAGAGAAAAAATAAATTATTTTCCCCCTTTGCTGCAGGACAACAGGGAAAAAAAAATTAAAATAGGCAAAAGTACATTTGTTGCAGACATTATTGAATAGATTTCCTGACAATGAGCCAGTTTTAAAGTAGTTCCTTTTTACTTTTTCAGAAACTTGGGTTAAACTATCATGGTTCGAAAATTTCATCTATTTCATCTTTGGTAATTTTGAAAATGGTGACTTGTTCTTAAACTGCTGCTAGATGGTCCCTTTAGTCTAGGTCACCGTCTTTTCACTCTATTTCATAAAAGAGATCCTTTTTTTTTTATTAATTTTAATTTTTATTTTTATAATGGTTCTTTCTAATGCATCGTCTAAGAGAACAATTAAGATCTGTAGACTACAAGCATTATATGATCAAGGTTTACTAATCAGCATATTGAATTGCTTCAAATGTAGGTTTACTATGTAGTAACAGATTGCGTTGCAGTCATTCAAGAATCAGAATGAAGTTGAATGTAGTTTGCAGAAAAGTATACGATTACATACGTTATGATCTAAAAGAAATTGCATTTCCTTCGTCTTTGCCTGATCCGCCTCATATAAAAAAGCGTCGGAAATTAACTTGGAGAGAGCGATATCTTGTGAGTGTTCCATATAATTTTGATCCTTCTTATGAATAATTTTATGTGTTTTGGATCTTTGTTTAACATTTCATAATGCTATTGATAAATTTATTGTTGTGATTTGTTTGACTCTTAAAATAGCACAATTCTCTTCTTTGTAGCATTGTGTGTAAAAATTCATTTATTTTTTTATCGGTACCCACTTTCAATAGTATATTTCACAGAAGCTACAAACACTGTGAATTATAGTTAAATTTCTGTGAGACATATTAAATGTGCTTTACTGGCCCTATTTTAGACGGTCTTCGCTGATATGGGCTAACGGATCTTTTTTTCTTTCTTTCTTCTTTTTTTTTTTTTTCCTTGTTGTTGGTATTTGGGGATATGCTAGATTCTATCATCGACCCAACAAATTATTTGTTTGAATTAAAGATCTCATTTGGGAAAAAAGTAGGTTCCATTTATGGTGCTTCTACCAATTGCAGTAAATGAGTCTTCTCTTCTAGTTAGGGTACAAGCTCTCCCTATAAAACTGTGTATTGAATGATTTTTTATTTGTGTGTCAAATTATATTTACAAAGACAAAAGTTTTCTTGCATTTGAACTTGAGTACATGTGCTGGAGAACGAGATATGATTGGCACATTTGAGCTGCATGTGTTTTGCCTCTACTTTTTGTGACGGTGCAAGGATAGATAATTGGTTTAATTTTACATATTTTAGTAATTTAGTATTTTAGGTTTTATTTTGTAGTAGAGTTTGGTTTGGGTTCTACATGATGCTTATATATATTTGGCTCGTGACATTGTGAAAGCACTTTTTGATGATTATTGATTACAAGCATTATTATTCAGAGCCCCCCCGGCGCGCATCAATTTGATATTAAGACACTCTGCCAATCTTGCAACATTTTGGCATCAAAGCATACAACATGCATGCTGTTACTAATTAATAATGAGTACCTTTTATGGATATCGTTTAGGTGTTAAAAGAAGCATCTAGGCTTTATGCTGCAAGCTGGGTGAGGGATATTGGTCCTGATCTTCGGCCAAATGATTATAAGAAGAATGAAGAGAGTGTTGATAAGTCCAACGGAGAAAATTGCAAAAGTAAAGAGAGAGAATCCTCCACATTGGAGGATCTTGGTAAGTAACTAATATACATGTTCCTGGTTGAACGGTATGAAATATTGACTGATAATCTAATTAAGAGAATTGCTGCATATAACTTAACCATTGCATTATGTTGTTATTATTGCTCTACTTATTTTATTTATACATCAAGAGAGAGCTAAGTGACTAAACATGTTTTTGTGCTAATTAAAGATGCGACTTTCGCATCTTTATGTTAATATGTTTGATTATTCACTGTTTTGAACTCAAGTACTTGATTTAATTAGTTTTGGCATCTTTATGTTGAATATTTAACTTAAATAATTCATTTAGTTGACTTTTATATCTTTGTATATACTATTGCATCTTTAATACTTATTGGGTGAGTTTTGTTTTTTTTTTTTTTCCAACGTGCGCCTTGCTTCAGTCGGGCGCGCGCCTCGCCTTGCGCCTCAGGCTCCAGGAGGCATTTGCGCTTTTGTGCGCCTTGAGCCTTTAACAACTATGAGAATGAGATCTAGTGATTAGCTCAAATTTGAAGTGATATTGCGAAAGTGACATGGACATAATCATGGTGTAAAAGTGTGAAATCTTCAACATGCCTGTTACTAGATGCATGCTACTATGCTAGTAGTAGGGATGCAACTTGGGCGGGCTAACCCGAGCCAAGCCTGATTTTCATGGGCTTGGGCAACCATTTTTACAATTATGGTTGGGTATGGGTTGAAAAATATTTTTTATTGATAAGTATGGGTTGAAAAATATCAGCCCAAGCTTAATTTGGATTGGGGTTGGGTTGAGGTGCCAATAACCCGAGTCCAACCTCAACTCGAGCCCGAACCCAAATTCTAATTTTAGATTTTATCTATTTATTTTAAATATACTATAGATATTTCAAATTATGGCCGGGTTGGATTGGTCAGTGGTCTATTGGTTATTTTGTCATAGAATGTACAGACCAATGTCTTTAATTATTTGGGTAAATTACGATAACCTCCCCTGAGGTTTGGCCTAATTTAAAATAAATTTTCAGTTTGCAATTTTCTTGCAAAGACCTCCCAATGTCAGATTTTGTGATGAATTTACTTATATACCCTCATTATTATATTATTAAAACAATCAAAATATCTATAAATAGAAATGACTATTTTACCCCAATACACATGTTGAAGGATTTATATATATAAGTTACACCCTCTCTAACAGCTTAAGCATTTGTAGTAGATGGTTGTTAACATGGTATAAGAGCCAAAGGTCTCAAGTTCAAACCTCACCGTCACCCTAATTAAAAAATTGAAAAACACGTGTTTGACCAAAAGAAGGCCACACGTGAGGAGTCGTGTTGAAGGATTTATATATCTAAGTTACGTCCTTTCTAACAACTTAAGCTTTTGGAGTAGATGGTTGTTAACAACACACAGCCACAATTATATGTATTTTCACCAATTGATATATATATATATATATATATAATACACAACCCATCAACCAAGCTTCATCACAACCACTGCTCACCACCTTCTCACTGTCAGCGGCGTTGTCACCACTAATTATACGATGATTACTACTAACTAGTTACTTAATCGATATGTGGTCTTCTAGGTTCAGGGTTAGGGTTATATTGTATCCACATATATATATATACATACACACACACACAGAGATTCCATTAATCGGTATGTGGTCTTCTGGCGCTCTTCTTTATAGCGATTCCATTCGATTCACAATCCCAATTTTAGGATTAGGGTTATATTTTATCCATATATATATACACACAGATTCCATTCGATTCACAGCCCCATTTTTAGGATTAGGGTTATATTGTATCCATAATATATATATACACACATACTCACACGGTACAAGAACATGGACAGACACAAAGGAGACTGCTACGGCTGTTATTTCGACTCTCATCGCAACATGCACTTTGCGACGTCATCTCGTTCTGTCAACGTACCTGTTTCTTGCCATGACTGGAACTATGGCAACAATTACGGCAGTAGTTTCTCCAACGATGGTCACCGCTGCCACCACCATCACAACAATTCCAATGGCGAACAAAATGACTCAATTGGTTGCGGCTCTGCAATCGGTATCCGCGATGATGGTGGTGTTGGGAATTGTAGAAAAATCAAAACCCAAAATGGATTGATGAAAACCCAAAATTAAAACCCAGAACCGGTGCACCAATTGCACAACACTATCACCAACTGCAGATGGTGGTGGTGGGAGGAGGGGCAACGAACAGCGAAAAGAGAGGAGAAAGAATGATTTTGGTGGTGGTGGTGACGGTGGTGCATAGTGGTGATACGTTTTAATTTCATTTGGGCTTCTTTAATGTTATAAGTAGTTAGGGAACAAAGAGAGGAAAGAGGAGAGAGAAGAATGATTTTGGTGGTGGTGGCAGTGGTGGCAGCGGTGTTTGGTGGTGATGATGGATTTCAATTTCATTTGGGTTTCTGTAATGGTATAAGTTCTATATATATATATAGGGGAGAGATTTTGGCGGCGGTGGTGCTTGGTGGTGGTGGTGTTGGTGGAAAATATTCAAGTTTTAAATTCAAGTAGACCATGATGGAGAGAGAAAGCTTTAGTGGCATCTACCAGCAGCAGCAGCAACACCACGCTTTAAGGGTGGAGTCTTCAATGTAGCATTAGGGGGTGGTGGGTTGGTGGAGAGAGAAAAAGAGAGCGAGCTTAGAATTTTTTGTTGTTGTAATTTATAAGGGTCTTTTACTCTTAGTGGGTGGTCATTTTGGTCACTTCAAACCAATTTTCTCACAAAAAGTACTTTTTGTACGGAGGGAAGGCCTTTGCAAAATCGGGCAAACCTCAGGGTGACACGTTGCAAAAAAAATGTAGACCTCATGTTTATTTGCAATTAGGCCAAACCTCAGGGGAGGTCATTGTAGTTTACCCTAATTATTTCAATTGTGAAAAAGTTAAGGTGGTTCATCTTTTTAGTCTTTATATTTTTATGTCTAGTGGTAGATGATGTGCATTGCAAGTAGATAATAGAATGAGAAAGTAATCTGCAAGTTTCATAAAGTCAATGTGGTACAGGATGTTTGTTTGATAAAGTTGGTGTGGCAACCCAAATTCTAACCCGAAATCTCAGCCTGAGTTTCCAGAGCTAAAAAAATTAATGATGGGTTGGGCTCGGTTTAGGTTTAAAATGTTTTATATGTCGGGTTTAGCCCGACTTGTAATTCCAATTCACCCAACCTGCTCTTGTTGCACCCTTAGCTAGTAGGAATCTTTAATATATTTAAAAGAAGTATGCTTTTTCTTTGGTAGGTGAACAAAAGTATGCTTTAATCATTAAAATTTCCATGACATATATCCTTTCTCATATTAATACTTAGAAATGAGTGAAACTTAGGGGGAAAAAGAAGAAGAAATGAGTGAAAATTTCTTGCTAGGACACTTTGATATAAAGATTCATCTATTTCAAGGTATTGAACGGGGAATCCTGAACTACAACGATTGAATTATGTTCTGGATGCTAAAATTCGATGACTGAAATGTGCACTCAAGCACATTTACAGTGAACAGTGAAGGCTGCACAATGGGAAGAAGTTTCCTTGGTTATCTTTAGACCTAGTTCTCACAGCATGTCTATTATTGAGTCATTGACCTTAAAAAGCATGCTGACTGCCTATACCATACATGACCTGTGATATGGGAGATGCACGTGCTCGAGAAAGATATGAGCAAGCATATGCTTATTTTTCTTTTTGGCAAGTAAAAGACTGAAAAACACCTCTACTGGTACATTTTGCTGAATTCTCCATTTTTTTTCTGCAGGGTGGTTAGCGTCATTGTAATTTTATATAATCAGTTTTGGAGGAAAAAAATTCCATACCAGCAAATGCTTTTACTATTGGTAGTTTGCAGCTCCGAGAAAAATATTTGATGTTAGTTTTGGTTGATTTGCAATGGTGACTGTCTTCTACATATTGATAATGGTTAATCTTATATTTTCTTTAAATATACAACGGGTTAAATGAACCAACTTCAGGAGGCAGCAAAAGTAATCTTTAAAGTGTGATTTTGTTTGAATATATTTTTGGAAGTTGCTTCAATAAGATGTGTTATTGCTGAGTGTTAGCTACTTCTGTTATAACTTGCATAATTTAGGTGCCCTTTCATTTCTATTTTTCTATTTCCTTTGTTCTTTAACTTCATTTTAATTTGTGTTGAGTTTAACATTTTTATTGGGAATAAAATAACCAGCGGTGGCTGCCAGAGGAGGAATGGAGACGCTTAGGCCTGCTTTGCAGCGGGTGTACATGACAAGAGCTTCTGCATATAGAGATGCACTCAAAAGTTTCATCGAAGGGTATCAAGAAGGTATACAGCAAGTCATGGAGAAGAATGAAGATTCTAAATCTCAGCAGGAAGAGGATAAGCCCAAAACATCGAGTTGATCTTTCTAGTGAGAGTCCACTTTTCTTAGTTCTTTGCCGCAAATGAACTGAGTTTTCCCCCCTTGCCATTTTTTTTTTTTTGCAAAAAGCAGCTTTGCAGTAGTAAAGTCTCATTTGTTGTGTTGGCCGAAGTTACAAGAGTCACATTATATGTTCGAATATCCCAAAACGATCTTTCGGTTCTGGGAGGAATTCGGAAAACTCCTTTTCTATGGAGGCATTGTGCAGCTTTGCTATAGTGATGTTTCTAAGGAATTACCTGTAACAATTTTGAATATTAAATGTATCTAGATAAGCTTTTGCTTATTGAATTCAATCTTCAAAGCTTATTGAATTCAATCTTCAAATATTTATCATCCATTTTTTTGTTTTGATATGCGCTCACCATATTATATGATGTTAGTGAAAGGATATGGATGTTTGACATTTACAAATGTCTTCCAAAAATTGTGTTGAGTGAGACTGACCCAATATTTTCAAAAATGAATGAATGAATGCTTCACAACTATGAACATAGTAAGATTGGAAGTACTTATCATCGAAGAACAATTACCTCACCAAGGTGACTCCATGGGGCCAACCAATCTTCTTCAAGTATCTCCTCCAAAGCTTTCAAGAATCACCCCCAAATGAATGTCTCCCCTATTCCCTTGTAGAGATCATTGAAGCATTGCTTGTGGGAGCATACTCTTGTATAGAGATTCTGTTTTAATTCAAGGAGAAAATTTATGCCCTGTTTGGAATGTGCTATGATATTGTTTTTCTGACATTGGTTTTCAAATTTAGGCCTATATCATATTTGAGAAGATTGGTATTGGTTTGGAATAATTTATAATATATCAGATTTTTTGGTCCAATTACATATCACTAAATTGGTGATATTGTGTGTTTTGGTACTGCAGAGGAACTAAAGTAAATTTTTGACAAAAAATATAACGCCTAAAATATATTGCATGCCGAATGTGCCCTTAGTGAGAAATATGAATTTCTCTCTCCATATGTCTTGTATTCATTACCCTAAATGCACAGGGAAAGAGACCTTTTATGTTGAAACCCTCTTTTAGTGCTAATAGCACTCCCCAAGTCCTCATTTACTTAAAGCCACACTACGGTAAAACACACTATCCCCACATTTTTGGGCTTGTCTTTCTGACTTTGTAAGTTAAAAGTTGGGTGGGTTTGGGCTAACCCAATACCAACCCGCCATCATTAAATTAAATTAAGTTAATTTTTCCTATTTTAAATGTTTTAATTACATTTTTATTTATTTACTTGATTATTTGGCTATTTGATTACGTGTTTAATTGAATTGATTAATTAGATATTTTATTTGCTTAAATGTTTTATTTGACTTAACTGATTAATTGAAAATATGTACTTGAATGTTATTTGAATTAGTTGATTTAATTGATGTGTTTTGTTTATTTGTAATTAATTGTAAATTAAATAATTATTTTATTTTATTTTATGGACATGGTTAGTAATAATGGGCCAACCAATTGGGTCACATGGATTATTTGGATAGGAGGTTTAATGGGTAAGGATAATTACCAATGGATAGTTATATATATATAAGGAAAGTAATTAATTAATTAATGTTATTGTAACTTAGTATTAATAATCTGATGTATATATTTTTATATTTATATAATAAAGATATACATAGATTATATACGTAACATAATTTTAGTTACACATGGATAGTTATATATATATGTATATAAGGAAAGTAGTTAATTAATTAATATTATTGTAATTTAGAATTAATAATTTGATGTATATATTTTATATATTTGTATAATAAGGATATACACAGATTATGTATGTAATATATTTTTAGTTACCTTTATAATATTTTAATTTTATTATTTTCTTTCATTATGTTGACTTGGATTGGGAAAAAGATTAGGTTGTTTTATTTATCCTGTAAATATATAAATATAGGTTAGTAAAAGGGGTTAGAAATTAAATCACGTAGTATATTTTGGAGGAAAAAGGCAGAGAGTTTAGAGAGAGAAAGAAGGAAGAAAAAGAAGGAAAAGAGGAAGAATGAGGCTATGGTTTTTATCAAAATCCTTAAGGCAAGTTCTTTTCTTCTCTTTCCTTTTGATTCATATTCTGTACAGATCTAGATTAATTCCAGAATATTTAATTTAATTAATTTAACCTATATGCATGATAAGCTCTGAAATTATAGTTGTTGAGGGTGAAATCCACGCGGTCCGATACAACACTGTTTTCCTGTAAAGAAGAGAGTAGAAAATCGATGAATCTCGACAGCATCGGTGTAGTGCCTGCTAAGAGCTCTCTGACGATCAAGTTAGTCATCGGAGATCTAAAAGAAATGAAGGGATTTAATAATAGTTTTTTCGTTGTACCTTATTTCCGAATCGTCTCCCTATTTATCGTCACTTCCCTTATTCTTGATAAGGGAATATCATAATCCTTATCCCATAAAAATCTTATCCTTGATAAGATTTGTCATTATCCCATGAAACTTATCCAATGGAAATCGTTATCCTTATAACGAAATATTATCTTTCGAAAGTAGAAGAGATCTGGCAGCTGGTCAATACTTAGTTGCCTCTATCGTTAGGTCAAGATAGGTTAGATTTATTTTTCCCTATCAGTTGCCCCCCATTCCCAAGCTTGCTCATCTAAATTTTGGGAATGTTAATTTTTTTTTTGCCCCCCGCATTGTTCCCAAGGGAACAGTGCCCGCAAGTACTGTTCATTGAATAGTAGAATTTTTTTTTTTTTGTTTGCCCCCGGCTCGGCACTGTTCGGAACAGTGCCCCGCAAGTACTATTCATTGAACAGTAGAATTTTGTTTTTTTTTTTTTTTTTGTGCCCCTTGTACTGTTCCCTTTGGAATAGTGCCCGCGGGTACTGTTCATTGAACAGTAGAATTTTTATTTATTTATTCATTTTTTTTACCCTTGGGTACTCTTCCTTTGGGTGATGTTCCCATGGTAATATTCCCTTGGGTACTCTTCCCGTGAATACTCTGCCCCTGGGTAATGTTGGTACTCTGTCATTAGATAATTTTCCCTTAGGTAATCTTCCCTCGGGTAAGCTTCCCTTGGGTAATGTTCCCGTGGGTACTGTGCCCCTGGGTAATGTTAATACTCTGCCATTGGGTAATGTTCCCTTAGGTAATCTTCCCTTGGGTAATCTTCCCGTGGGTACTCTACCCTTGGGTAATGTTCCATTGAGTATTTTTCCCAATGGTGAAATTAACACAGATACCAAACTGGATTCAAATCCATGGTTAATGATTCTTAGTGATGTAAAACTGGATTTTTCTTTTGAAAATCCAATATACTAGTTATAAACTTTATGGGTTTCAGTTAGCCCATCCCTTTGGTAAGGGAATAAATTTTACGAGCTTTACTTAGCTCGTCAGTCCTATAATAAGGGAACGAGTTTCACTCAACTCGTCCCTTTAGTAAGAGAATTAGAATTTTACGAGCTTCCCTCAACTTGTCCCTTTAGTAAGGGAATTAGGTTTTACGAGCTTCACTTAGCTCGTCCCTTTAGTAAGGGAATTAAATTTTTGTCAAGCGTCGGGAATGCCAAGTCCTACTGAGCTAAGTATGCTTGATGATTACTTTCTTACCCCTTTTAATAAGGGAAGTAGATTTGTTCTAGCGTTGTGAGCTCACCCTTTAATAAGAGAGTAGTTAACCCTCCGTCTCTTTACCGAGGGAAGAAGATAAAGTTGACCCTTCGTTCCTTTATGGGGGAAAGAGGTGTAGTCTGAAGGAGGGTGACCCATTTAATATGAGAAGTAGTCGTCTCGTCTCTCTAGTAAATGAAGGGAGCTTTAATTATCTCACCCTTCTGTGTAGAAGAAGTAATTGGTTTCTTGTCCCTTTAATGAGGGAAGAATGTGTTGTTGGCCCTTGGTTCCTTTAATGAGCTTAATATTACCACATAGGCAGGTAACTAAAAACGTAATATTTTATTGCGTAAAAATTGAGGGTCATCCATCTCAATGGTGATAGTAACCTTTTTGGAAAATAAAATAACACGTGAAATGATGAACTGAGATGCCCCCAGTCTTTATTTTGAATGACTTGATAAGGCTAATTCTAGCTGTGAGACAATAGTTAGTCGGTATACTTATCTGAGTTCTCCTCACTATATGTCCTATTGCTTTGGCTGAAGAATGATCTCTTATAGCTGGTATCTTTTTCATCCCTGGTGAGAGGGGCTGACCTCTTCTTATCCTCTCCTTTCTTTCCCTTCCGTGCATTCATGGCGGCTTCAGCGTTCATGTGTTTCTGCGCTCTGATCAACAACTTTGCCATGCTAGTGGGAGGTTCTTTGGATAAGGCAAACAAGAATATGGAGGTTTGGAGTCCTCCTATGAAAGCGGTCAAAGCCACCTTATCGTCCACCTCTTCTGCTTGTAACATCTCTGTGTTGAATCGGATGATGTATTCCCGGATCGACTCGCCCTTATGTTGCTTCACGGTAAGCAGGTAGGTGGCCAGCCTCCTATGCTTCTGACTTGCAAAGGCTTGCAAATTGCTTACTCAGTTTTTCGAAGGTGTTGATGGTTCCTGACTTCAGCTTGTTGAACCAAACTCTTGCCGATCCCTTAAGTGTGGTGGGAAAAGCTCGACACATGATTACATCTGGCATGGCATGCAAATGCATAAGAGCTTGAAATGTCTCCCATGCATAGAGAATATATATATAGTAGGAGTAGACTGTATGATTGCAGAGAGAATATAATTGCAGTAGTTTTTCTGAGTGTAGAAGATAATTGTTTTATTGATTTCTCCGCTAATCAAAACTTACATATTAATAGAATTTATCACGTCTTTTCATTAACAGGTATAAACCTAGATGTGCCGTTTGGCTTAGCAATTATAGCATTTTATTTAGTTTCCTTTAATTTAATTATTATCATCTACGGTTAATTAGTTAAGGACTTTTGAATTTCTAACCAATAGAAATTCTAGAGTTGGAAGTTTTCTCTAATAACTCTAACAAAAACAACAATAAATCATCTGCATAAAAGAGATGAGTAATCCTCAGATCTTTGTATCTCTAGTGATATTTGAAGGAATGAACTTTGTCAACAAAGTTCTTGATGATGGAGGATAGAACATTCATTACAATGACAAAGAGCAATGGTGAAAGAGAGTCCCCTTGTCTCAACCATCTTTTCTCTCCGAAGAAGCCTTAGAATTTTCCATTTAGTGCAACAATTAACTATAAAGATGTAATACATGCTTGTATGAGTGAAATGAACCTCTGTGACTTTCCATTCAGTGCAACAGTGAACGATGGAGATATAATACATGCTTGTATGAGTGAAATGAATCTCTGTGGGTAATTCCCCATTTAGTGCAAAACTCATTGTTGTTTTGCTATGAGTGGGAAAGGTGGGCTCTCACATTAAAACGGTTGGCTTGTCAAAGTCTATGGTCCATTTGATTAGGCGAAAATTAAGAATTAAATGTGAAAGTGAAAGAAATTAAAGTAAATGAAAAGAATATTAGTTCTACACGTATTTAGTTAGCATGAACAATTTTCGAGAATGTTATGAAAAAATAATATTTTGTTAGTATATTTGGATGGAATGAAATTAAAAAGAAAATTATTGTACTTACCAAAATTACTCTTATGATTTCAAATACTAAAAAAAATATTGTGTTAAATCAATCCGCTTTATATATCCAATTGTTTATATATGTTTTTAGCAAAATAATAATAATAATAAAATGATGGATTATGAAAAATAATAATATAATTGTTTATATTCATTTCTAAAAATTTTATATTTGAGGAATGCTTCCTAATATTTCTGACCGTAATCTTGAACACTTATTTTCAAAATATGCCCGATACAAATCCATAAGATGTCTATAAAAGTTAAAAACACATAAAATCACCAACTGATAAAGACATAATAGAAAACTAAAATATGGAGGCACGACTTTTATGAAGTCCCACTTTCCTAAAATTTTTAGTTTTCATCCCATCCAAACTCATAAAAAGTCCAAAAAAAATGTACTACTTCTATTCTTCTATTTAACCAAACAGGCCCTAAATAATTTTTCAAAGGGAAATTATGTAAAACAAGAAGAGGACATAAGAAAGAGAATGACAAGAATAAAGATCCGTCTTCCCTGGAAAATATAAAAGCCTTTTTTGTTTTTTCCGCATCATCAATTGCACAACAATTCAAATTCAAAATCAAAAGAACCAAAAAAAAAAAAAAAAAAAACATAGTAGTTGCAAAACAAACCATTTACAACTGTCTAATCCCATAACAAAGCCATAGTCTTCCAACAAGACTATCCTGAGGCATCCACAGAGGTATTGACAAGGCACCCGTTATTGTTGTTATATCAACTTCAACACTACAGGCTTTGCAAAATCATGTGAGCACCATGTTGCGGTTGAAGAGTTATGATAGTGTGAGGAGCATGGATATAGGATGGTGAAAGTTGAAAGGAGAAGCGTTGCAGGATGAGCGCGATGGCCAATTTTCCTTCTAACATTGCGAAGTTTTGTCCGGGGCACATTCGGGGTCCCCAGCTGAATGGAAAAAATGAGACTTGGCTCTTTACTGCCTTGGACACTCCTTCAGCAAACCTCTCTGGATTGAACTCCTTTGCATCTTCACCCCATAATTCATGGTCTTGGTGAAGTATGGCCTGTGGTACCATTAACTGAACACCAGCTGGTATGTTATATTGTCCCATTTTGGTTTCTTCCAGAGTAGTCTTAGTGAGCTCAACGATTGGTGGGTATAGCCTTAAAACCTCCCACAAAATCATAGTTACCTGTGAAAAAAAAAAAAAAAAAAAGCTGTAGAATGAGGAATTATTACCGAACTGACAGATGAATTATAGTTTAGAACCGTCTGATAAGTACAATATATGTGCATTGACAACCTAATGAAATATTGGCGGTGTTGTGCATTCATGAGAGTATATTGGTTGTGAACTTTGCATGTTAGAATACTTGATTCAAAAGTTCAAAAATTCAAGATTCTAATATTATGTTTAAGAATTCTACAAGTTCACTAATATTCTTTTTTTAAAAATTCCAAATGAAAATATTTAGAGAAAACACTTACAACTTTTAGGCAATGTATCCCATCATAGTCCGGCTGGTTATTTCCAAAGACTTGCACAACTTCTTCTCTAGCACGCTCTTGCCATTTCGGATACCTACTCAAGAAAAACATTGTCCACACAAGCAAAGTTGAAGTGGTGTCCTGTCCAGCAAAGTAGAATATCTTGCAGTCATTAATGATCTCTTGAATACTTAATCCACTGTTCTGGTTGTTTCCATGTTCTCCGATCTCCTTGAGATTGGATTCCAGTAATACACCCAATAAGTCATGACCACAAGGTTTTCCTGTCTTCACTGCCTTCAGTCTTCTATTGATGATATCCCTTATCGAAGCACATATTATTTTGTCAATTTCTTTCATCCTCCTGGTTCTCTTAGTTGGAAAAAACCTACACAAGCAATATCAGTCAAACAATAAAACAATAACTTGGGTAAGTAGGAAAGAAAATGATACTATTAGTTAGGAGAGGAAATGAGGAAAATAGAACTTAATTTCATCGCCTTTAGATTAGCAAGGAGAATGAAGGGAAAAATAGTGCCAACCCCTTCATCTTCTGTGGTAAAGATAATGGAGAGAAAAGAAAGGAAAGAAGTGTTTTAGTACTAGAATGGAAACACTAAAATGATAAGTTATATGCTATTCATAAAAATAGAGATAAATTGGATAATTACTCACTTTGTTCTTCTAAATCCTTCCCTTTTGGGAAGGATAGCAAGATTGTTACTTTCAAGAGTTAAGTAACCCCCTCCTCCTCCCTCTTATTCCTTTCTCTTCTATCCTGATTTATGAAGGGGTAATTACAAATACATGGAGTTTTGGAGAGCAACTTTCAAATTCATAGAGTCAAAGTCAACGCTTTGCAAAATCATGTATTATTTTGAAAGTATGATGCGTGCATGGAAAAACGTTGTTCATTTGCCCAAACTACAAATCTCATATGAAAAATACACTGTTTTCCCATGTCCAGATCAAACTTTCAAAGAAATACATGATTTTGAAAAATGTTGATTTTGACTCCATGAATTTGAAAATTATCCTCCAAAACTCCATGTATTTATAGTTATCTCATTTATGAACTGCACATGAAACAAGCTCTTTCCTTCTTGTTTCTTATTGTGTCCTTCAAAGTCCTTCACGAAAGAACAGAACTCACGAAATTTCATTTTGCTATCCGTATTTCAACCTTTCACTTCATGTGGTGCTTTGTATTTAATGGATTTTTGTTTTTAGCTTAACAGTAAGTAAATGCCCATTTCTGATTGAAATTTCTAGTAACAAGACATTAGATTCATCATATTTGTAACAAAAGTGAAATTAAGTTAGCAAAATCTAATCCTACCAAAGAGAAATATAGTTTAACTAGAAATAATTGAACTTTACCTCCGGCCTGGGATGTAAACAGACTGTATAACCTGAATAGTAAGTACAGCTAATTCTTTCACAAGGTGGAGTATATGTTTTCCTTCTTCATAGCTAGTTCCAAATAATGTCCTCGAAATCACATCGCCACTTAAATCTTCAAGATCAGGCCACACATCCACCTCACACGATCCTGCTCCAGTAGAGACCATCTTCTCCCATTTGTTCATCGTCTCCATACAACTCGAATGAAATGCAGGTAGCATTTGCTATAAAAGAATAATAGTAATAAATAAATGAAAAACAAAAATTAATCCAATAATCATCTTTATTAGATTTGCTGTAGAAGTTAAATGATTTGGTTAAGCGTATGATTCAAAACATTTTACAGGTTTGTTAGGTTCACTTCCACACAAACACAACTTGAAAACAAAACTCCCAGGTGGAAATGTCCTGAAGATTATCGTATTAATTGTTGTATTAAGAGTTGAATGGAATATATAGAATGGAGCTAGAATACCTTCAACTTCTCCATATGGAAAGCGGGCGTCATAATTCTTTTGTGCAGAGCCCATTCTTCACCCTCTAAACTTCCTACTCCAGTTAGAAGCAATTCGGTTATGGGATCAAGTGCCTTGTGATTCTTCTTAAATTTATAGTTCTTAGTCAAGATAAACCTTATAAGTTCAGGTTCTGTGATGTGCACTCTCGGTATCCATCCAACCCACATAAAGGAATTCTTACCTGCAAGTTACAGCCACTCGGGTAAACAGAAAAATCAATTCTTTTAACAAAACAAAACAAAAAAACAAAAAAACAAACAACCTAATTAAGCTTTAAAAAGTACCAAGTAGCTAAACAAAACGAACAATATATATATATATATATATATATATATGTATGTACCGTTCGAAAATATATACGTATTTTATGCGTTCTAAAATATATACGTATTTTATGCATACAAACATATATATATATATATATATAACACCAAAATTTACATTTTCGACCTTGGTATGTTCTATTATAGCCATTTGTTAGCACTTCTACATTTCTATTTGATGTAATACATGCTCAAATTTCAGCATTAGTCTTTACTATAACGAGCTTTTGAATTGGTTATGTTAGTATGGTATTACTCGACATGTACATCTATAGATTATAAGTTCACTACGGGGTGTGTGTGTATATGTGACAATATAAAACATACAATACTACTATCAGTCATAAATTAGTAAGAATTTGAACTATACACATAGTAGGAAACATCAAATTCTAACGTGTAACATGGATTAAAATAGCACATAAGCTAAATATCACAAATCTATAAAATAACTACAGATGCAATAATGTGTAAGTTTTACTAGAACTCTGGGGGACCCGAATCTTCCCAATCCAACCCCTTTACACATTTACCTAACAAAACATTGCCATATTCACTCAAAACAGAGCTCTCCGTGTTGTAACTTTTGTTGATGTTCATGACACTATAGGTTGCTGTCTTTGATCTCCTATGCTTGTGGGGTTTGGGCTGTTGCTCAATTTCTTTCCTAAAGCTTTATGTGATGTAGCGCAGTGGACCTCATTATCTGGTATTGTTTTGTGCCTTTCCTACTTTTATTTTAGGCAAAAGTGCAAAAAACTCCACTTTACTATTACAAAGGTGAAAAACAATCCACTAGACTATCTCGGGTTGTAAATCAACCCCTCATATACACAAGGCGTTGCAAAAAGGACCCCCCCAATCACCGGGCCACATTTTTCAACCTAGAGGGTCAAAGTTACTAAAATACCCCCACTTATTAATTTATAAAATATCATAAATATATAATACCCATAATACCCTTCAGAGGCCATCTTGCAACTAACCAATAGTTCAAGGGTTTCTTTTGCAATTTTGCCTAATAAACAACAACAACAACAACAACAACAACAACAATAATAGTAATAATAAATTACATAGTTGCAAGATATGTGAATCACTTTTACAACCCCTGCGAATTAACAATAAGAATAATAATAATAACAATAACAATAATAAAAACTAATAATAATAATTATTATTATTATCATAGTACTAATAGTGGTACAGTAGTAGTAATAATAATAATAATAAATTACTTATCAAAAATAAATAAATAATAATTTAACATAATAACAAAAATAAATTGCTTGATGGATCCATAAACCTATAAACAATTTTTGCAAGCTCATAAATTATCAAAAATAAATAAATAAATAATAATAGTAGTAGTATTTTTTTTCTTAGTTGGTACTCACACACATGCCTCCACTGAGGCTCGAACTCCTGACCTACCTATAAGAAGTGGGGGCCTGGTACCACTAAGCCATTGGCTTATTGATACAGTAGTAGTAGTAATAGTAATAGTAATAATAACAAAAATAAATTGCTTAATTAGTTGTTTGATAGATCTATATACCTACAAACAGTTTATGGAAGTTCATAAATTATCAAAAAAATATATTGAGGGGTCATCTTGTCAAAATACTTAACAATAACAAGATCTAATAATAATAATAGTAGTGGTGGTGGTAGTAATAATAACAATAATTTAAAATAATAACAAAAAAATGTATAGTTCAGAGTTTGATTTGCAACCCGAAATAATTTAGGGGGTTAATTTTCACTTTCTTGATAGTTCAGGGTTTTTTGCACTTTTGTCGGAGGTATAATAGTCATTCAAAAGGGTAATTTGAGTATTACCTGAAAATAAATGGCACGGGAATCAATCGACGCCGGAAAGTGTGGTCCGATGATCGGGAGGGTTCTTTTTGCAGCATTTTGTATGGATGAGGGGTTGATTTATAACCCGAGATAATCCAGGGGTTATTTTTCACTTTTGTGATGGTAGAATGGGTATTTTTGCACTTTTGCCTTTATTTTATTGCATATACTTACCCAAAAAATTTTTTTGTTAAATGTTAAGATGGATAATAGGAGGAACTAGAGAATAAGAAATTAGGCATGTGAGGTTTATTTGTTGTGAAATAAGTGAAATGAAACTTTGGTGACACAAAAATATACGACGTAACCCATAGATGCACCAGCTAAAAGATGAAAGTTAGTTTATATGAAAATTAAAAACGAAGAGGCTGACTAAAACTAAGTATGAGATGAAGTAATTAGAAATGTAATGATGGCAAAATAAGATTTACCTTCTTATAAATATCCGAAATCTCATGTCAATACAAGAATTTTAATGTATCATTACTAACGGAGTAAGAGATATCACGGATTTAGATTCTCTCTATTAGTTTCTCTCTTTGAGTATCGCCAAGCAATCAATCAATTATTGATTATGAACATGTCATACCATCACTATGTTCTGGTTACATATACAATTAATCCAAACAAAAGTGACATTGCATATGATTTATTAGAAAGAAATTTACGTTGTTATTCTTTTATACTTGCATGTATAGATAAATAAGTAAAGAAATAGTATACAAAATATAACCGGTATGGTGGGCTAAATGGATAAGGGATTTGTTATTCTTTTGTACTTACATGTATAGTTTATAAATAAGGATTATTACATATAAATATATAAATGAACTTAGTGGCCCATATTTACCCATACATTGAGTCAAAGTCAATAATTTCTTTTAAAATGTGTTTGACCTAAAAGCTGAGTTGGCACATGAAAAAATACTGTTTCATATTTCTGTTGCCTAAAATACCCTTCTTCCTATTTTATATGTTGCCTAAAATTCCCTTTTGCGAAGGTACCACTTTTTTTCCAAATGTACCACAATTTTGGACTGAAGGCATCACTTTTTAGCGTCCAGGTACCATATTTTCTAAACACTCGTTTAGCTAGATTGGAGAATACTTTGTGTTATTCATGGCGTTAACGGAGCTGTTTATGGATGTAATGTGCAACCTAATAAGCGGTGTGGGGTTTAATACCATTTTCAATTGCAAAAATACTTTTTTTTGGCGTCGAGGTACCATGTTTTCTAAACACTCTAGCTAGCTTGGAGAATATTTTGTATTATTCATGGCCCTAATAGAGCTATTTATTGATCCACTGTGCAACCTAATTAGCGGTGTAAGATGTAATACCATTTTCAATTGCAAAAATAAGTCCCTTTTGCGAATGTACCACTTTTTTTCCAAAGGTATCACGTTTTTAGACTGAAGGTAACACTTTTTGGCGTCTAGGTACCATGTTTTCTAAATACTCGTTTAGCTAGATTGAAGAATATTTTGTATTATTCATGGCATTAATGGAGCTGTTTATGGATGTAATGTGCAACCTCAATAGCGGTGTGGGGTTTAATACCATTTTCAATTGAAAAAAAAAAAATCCCTTTTTTTGGCGTCGAGATACCATGTTTTCTAAACACTCTACCTAGTTTGGAGAATATTTTGTGTTATTCATGGCCCTAATGGAGCTATTTATTGATCCAATGTGCAACCTAATTAGCGGTGTGTGATGTAATACCATTTTCACTTGCAAAAATAAGTCCCTTTTGAGAAGATACCACTTTTTTTTTCCAAAGGTATCACATTTTTGAACTGAAGGTACCACTTTTTGGCGTCTAGGTACCATATTTTCTAAACATTCAGTTAGATTGGAGAATATTTTGTGTTATTCATTGCGTTAATGGAACTATTTATGGATGTAATGTGCAACCTAATTAGCGGTGTGGGGTCTAATACCATTTTCAATTGCAAAAATAAGTCTCTTTTTTTTGGCGTCAAGGTACCATGTTTTCTAAACACTCTAGCTAGCTTTGAGAATATTTTGTGTTATTCATGGCCCTAATGGAGCTATTTATTAATCCAATGTGCAACTTAATTAGCCAACAAGCTATCAAGTACCATGTTTTCTAAACACTCGCTTAGCTAGATTGGAGAGTATTTTATGTTATTCATTGCGTTAATGGAGCTGTTTATGGATGTAATGTGCAACATAATTAGCGGTGTGGGGTTTAATACCATTTTCAATTGCAAAAATAAGTCTCTTTTTTTGGCGTCGAGATACCATGTTTTCTAAACACTCTAGCTAGCTTTGAGAATATTTTGTGTTATTTATAGCCCTAATGGATCTATTTATTGATCCAATGTGCAACTTAATTAGCCAACAAACTACCATTCACCTCAAGGAACCTCACTATTTCCATCTTAATCCATCAAGGCTTATAAGATGTAATTTCTTCGACTTTTGATATAATTTTTACTATAAAGTAATTTCTTAGTATAACTTAGTTGTTAGTACTATAACTCAATGTTCAT